CCAGATCATCAATGAAGATGTTGAACAGGACCGGCCCCAACACTGAGCCCTGGGGAACACCACGCGTGACCGGCCGCCAACTGGATTTGACTCCATTCACCACCACTCTCTGGGCTTGGCCGTCCAGCCAGTTTTTAACCCAGCACAGAGTGCACCCATCCAAGCCATGAGCAGCCAGCTTCTCCAGGAGAATGCTGTGGGAGACAGTGTCAAAGGCCTTACTAAAGTCCAAGTAGACAACATCCACAGCCTTCCCCTCATCCACTAAGCGAGTAACCTTGTCACAGAAGGAGATCAGTTTAGTTTAGTCGAGTAGCCCTTTCATAAACTCATGCTGTCTTGGCCTGATCTCCTGGTTTTCTCGTCCGTGCCATGTAATGGCACTCAAGATGATCTGTTTCATGACCTTCCCCAGCACCGAGGTCAGGCTGACAGGCTTGTAGTTCCCCGGATCCTCCTTCCCACCCTTCTTGTAGATGGGTGTCACATTTGCTAACTTCCAGTCATCTGGGACCTCCCCAATTGACCAGGACTGCTGATAAATGATGGAAAGTGATGATAAATGATGAAAAAAAATCCTTAATAGCCTTTTCGATTTAAGTAGTACATCATGATCTTATTGTCCATTAGCCTTTGAACATGATATCCGAAGGACAAACATGGAGCTATGGCCCTATCAAGAGAAGATACTAAGAGATCTTTAGTTTTTAATAGTAGTCTAATAATACTACATTTTCCTATTACCCAGCTCAGTATGACAAAATTCTGGACAGAGATGGTCAAGGTGAGGAGAGACTTTTCCTCTTTCTTAAATATTACATGAAACCATTTCCAGATGCTTTTACATCCGTGTATGTGCAAGACTTCAGCTATTTTGATGTGAAACCTCTCAATAGTAGTTTAATAACCATGAAAAATTGCTATTCCATTTCTCTTAGTTACAGCCTCTTTTTCTTGACAAAGTGCTTAATAATATTGATTTGTCCTAAAGCAGGATCTTTGAGTTCACTTTCTAAGGGTCTGAATAGATATTAATAGATTATTATACAAGATGATGTTCTAAAGCCTTCTTACTGCACATGCAAATTGTATTGGATATGATGAAAGAATGAACTAAAAGAGGCCTCGTTCCACTTCAAAAGTTAAGTAATTTAAAGGCTTGTGCCCTTCTGATTAACATCATCTTGCATTCCCTGTTGAACCTTTTTCATAGGCACAGTTTTCCTTGCACCTGACATCTACTACTTGTGCTTAACCATTAAGAACAATAGAGCCTTGACTGGAACCTCTAGTCTTAGCCCACATAAATAAATACAGCTTTAGAGGTAATATTAAGGCATCTTTCTCATTCTAGGGTGGCAGTTTTTTGGTTTTATATTGCTTCACATGCAAATAAAAAACCATTCATTATAATTACAATCCATGCAAAAAAATTTCAAACTCATGCTAGCATTCTGACACAAATTGGATGGAATTTATCTCTCAACTTTTATGCCTGTCTCCTACATATTCAAATCCCAGCAAGCCACCAACGGATCCCTTTATTAGGCAGCTGAGGAAACAAATTCCTCAAGAGATTAATCTAATCTAACTCCAAAACTAATTTTAGGATGATATGAATCATCCTCTGGAGATGCTCATTTCCTTCTATACGTTGGTATATACTTTTAGCAGAATTTAACTTAATGTAAAGCAGTGGACATATTGTTCGAAACACACTAAAAAACTTGATCATAAAATGTGATGCAGACTTAAAAAAGTCTGTTTTTCAATAATTTGACTTGTTAGTCCAGTCATCTGCTATAACAGCCAGGCCTCATGAAGTATATAGTGGTTTGAAGCAGCAACCGTATAAATCTGTCCAAACCAGACCCTGATTTAACAGAGTTCAGATCAACTTTGAAAAAAGGAAGCTGGAACTATAAACCTCTGAGATATCAAAAGTCAACTAATCAAAGGTGATCACGCTGGCAACTTATTTTTTAATTCAGAAGCTCAAACCTGGACTTAATCAACAAGCATGAGCTCTTACAAATGTTTACTATGAAAGATGTGTGCAACGCGCCAGCTTTATTGCAGGCGTAAAAGTAATTTCTACAGTTTAGCCTCATACATGTATTATGGGTAGCAAAATGGAAATGAATTTTGAGAAGAAATCATTAAATTACATAATGAGAACTGTGTAGTCCATTAACATGAGTAATACGACAAAATCCAGGTAGTAAGCAATAAATTTACATCTGCAGTCAGCTTCAATTATAAAAATAGCTTTTTTCTAGTACTGGATATATACTCACACTAAACACCTACATCTAAAGTGAAAATTTAATATAAATACATAATAACAGCTTAATAAGGATGTGCAGTTATTAAGAATGACAAATGTGCAAAAATCCCTATCAGAAGTCCGGAGCACGTAATAAGCTCCTGATTTAAGAGTTCCGGCATGTGAATGTTAGAGGTCAAAGCAATGAGCTATTAAAGATACTTTCACTTCCTCAGAAATAAAGCACTGTCTTGGGCTCAGAGGGGAAAGGTTAGAAAAGCTGTTTATCTGCCGCTCCGTTCCCATTCTTCCTTCTGTCAGGAAATCGGACATGCTCCTACACCCCACGCAGGGTTAACCCTGGGTCACGGTCATTCCCCAAGTAAGTGCCCGGCTTTGATTTAAGTGCAAAGACCACATGGCTGCAGGTTACATTTTCTCAAAACGCACGTTCTGATGTAAAGCTCAGCTCAGCTAAGCCTCCATGGGACGTAAAACACAGACTCTTCACCACATTATTGCTAAAGTGAAGCCGCAGCCATCGGTTTGCATAAATTAAAGGGGGCCATTAACAAAAAGAAAATGTTATTTTGTAGCAGTTAGAGCTAGAATAAGAACTACAAATATACGCTCGGAGCACCATGTTTAACCAGTGGGAAACCTCCGGAGAGGGGAGAGAGGTTGTCCTCTCCCCAGGAGTCGCAGGGCACGTTCAGGACAGACCAAGAGGAGCATAAAAAGCAAAGAAGCCACAGCACAAACACTCCCGGAGACTGCAAAGACAGGGATACATCGCCATGCTTCAGAGGTACAAGCAGAAAGAAACTACCCGGAGCTGGAAGGGACCCCAAAGTGTTTGCTGCCATTCAGGAAGCCACCAAACGGCTGCTGGATTAAGTACAAAGCTGAAGAAAAGCACCTGCCTGCTGGCAAACAGTGGGCAGGGGAAGGTTTATTTATATTATATTTTTATTTTAAAGTATTTTATATTATATATTATATAAATATTATATATAAAATATAAATATATTATATATACACACCTACACACACACATATTTATAATGTGTAGTCTGCCCCATTCTGAATTTTCTCAGTTCACAAAAGTTTTTCATTCTAGTTAATGTAGTAACAGAACCTAGCTTGAAACTTAAAAACCCTTCTGATTGCTGAAAGGACTCATAGAGAAAAGATCTAGGAACTTGCAGCTCAAAGCTCCAGCTGATCCAGGGACTCATCATGTGTAAATATTAGTTATAATATGTATTAGTATTATTTATATACATTAGTTCCATATAACGTGCATACCCATACATGCTGGTAATTTCATTTGAAGAATCACTATAATAAGAAAAAAACATTTGTTATGCTTCCCAAGCTACAGGTGACATGTAAGAGTATACCTTTGTGTACAAAACGTCAGATGGCAGATTTCTGCTGCAATGTAAAATACCATCATTGATTTCTTAGGAGATGGTGGTGAACTTTAATTAAAAACTATGGAGAGGTTCAAATTTAGAACTGCATCTGACAGACGAGATTCAAAACAGCCTCATTTATATAACACTTTCATTGGCTTTCAATAAGGAAAACTATTCAATATTTCTGCATTATTCTTTGATGGAAATCAAAGCATCAGATAGTAAGAATATTACAACATAAATATTAAGCAAATAATGCATTAACACAAATACTAGAACAGAAAAAAATAGCAATGAAGTCTTCAGATGACTGGCGACTTTTTTCTTTTTAACAACTTGAAGTTTTTAAACAAAACAATACCTGAGCTTTATTCCCCAGGTTAGGTGGGGCTGCAGCTATCACACAAATACAGTATATAGCCATAAGGCAAGTGCACACACTCTACCTGCAAGCCTAACAGTAGCTTCTACAGATGATTGAGGACAGAACGTCCCCCTCAGGTTCTGTGTTCTATTTGTTTCTAAAACCAGAACAACCTGTTATGAGTCATTTGATCACGAAAATTTCATGCTGTTTCCAGGAGTTTTAGAGTGAAGATTAGTTTATAAGCTATTTTCTTACCAAATTTATCAGCTGAGTGTGGACGATGTCTTCCACCAGTATTGCAGTTTCGTGGAGCGGCCTGCGAGCATCTCCTAAGGAAAACCTGAAAGAAAGGTTCATTGCAAGCTTATGAAAATGAGTTAAAAAGAAACAAAGTAGGTGGTCTCCAGAAAAAGAAAAAATATGAGTAATAATAAGAACCTTAATACACCTGTATGTACTGAAATGGATCACTCAGTGTGGTTCAAGGAATATAAACCAAAGTAATCTAGCTAAAGGGACAAAAAAGCTGCAAGAACATATACTAAAGCACATTGTAAGAAAAATCGAGGAAACAGAGGAAAATCCAGTTTGTAGGAACATTTGAAAAAAGAGCAGGCAATGCTGTAGCACGTGCACTACTAGGAGTAATGCTGTATTTGCTGCCCCCTTCGCTTAAAAAATTACCAAAAAACTATTTTAAAATGTAAAATGCTAACAGGTATTTTATCTCAAATCTAAATGGTAGTGCTAAGGTATGGAAGGAACTAATACGAATTAAAGGTAAACATTTTTATACATAATAATACGAGAGGCTCTTAAAGTCTACACTGCAAGATTAAATAACAAGAGATCGTAAAGAGATGATAGTGTTCATATAATATCACAAACGAAAGGCAAAGCCACTCCAACAGGCATCATTAAATGAGAAATTATGACAACGGGCTTTTTGCAAGGCTTTATCTTCTCTAAGAAATATCAGAAGTTGCTCTCTACGCCCGTCTTAACTGCTAGTCATTCAGCTACAGCTGGGATTGCTCCTTGGATCTGGGACGGGTGGTGGCCATCACCAGCCTACTCAAAGAGACTGTAGATGCTGCAGAAAATCTGAATGCTAGACATTCATTTGTAGCACCTCTTGACCCACTGCAGAGTCTGAGCATTCCCCATACAATGCCCCAAAAGCCCTATGAAACTACTCATCTGAAGTTGGGATGCTGTGCTTCACCTCCAGATCCAGGCAGAGTACAGGGGCACTGAATTTGAAACACCTAAGGGATCCAGGTGGGGCTGATGTTTTTTTCACTTGGCAGCTGCACTCTTTCAGACAGGCAGCTGAAGACCCAGTGAAGGTCTTTTAGTGTCCAAAATGACTGTAGGTTGCAATCAAACTCCACCCCTAATCAGTCCAGCGAGCTTAAGCCCCCCCTAAGCCCTCCCTTCATCCAGGTAGCTGAACGGCAGTCTAGAGAAAGGAAAAGGTCTCTTACTCTATGCGGCTTCTCTTCATCACATAAAGTGCAAAAAGATGCTGTTTGTTTTCGTTGACTACTGTCTGCTCTTTGCTTCCGATACCTACATTTTCAGTTCACTCTCAAATAGAAGAAATGGGGTATTCAAGTATTCTAGCTACAGTTCCTGGGTTTATATATATATATATATATATAAACCCCTCACGAATTTCTCTGTGCTACACACAACTTTGAAAAAATGTCTTAGTGTATTAACCACACTACCTATTCAAGGATGCTATAAGTAACACTGTTTCTGCCTATTTACTCAGTCATTTGTATATGCGATAAAGGATCCAAGAACATCAAAATCCTTCACTTTCTCTTGTCTCAGTTCTTTTATTTACGTAAAAAAGATGGGCACCTTTTTTTCCATGTTATGATTAACAGGATCAAGAACTGACTCAAGCATTCTCATAGTATATGTAAAATTTTGTCCTTCTACCTATGCATGAAGGACCAGAGAAATGTGACTGTGATGGGATAAAGAAGCGATAAGAGAGCTCTGGAAAAGTGGGATACTCTTCTTGCCACATCAGTTGCCTCATGTATCCACATTCCTCCCTCTCTGACAGCAAACCCCCTTCGTTTCCCAGAACTGTGGCAAACAAAAATCAGCCACAGTCATGGATAAATTACTTCAAGAAATTTGCTCGACTGACTTCCTACAACACCTGTATGTAACGCAAGGCTGGTGGACAGCTATGGTCTACAGTTGCATGGACACCTGCACATCACAGCTTTTGTGAAAGGTGAATCTCTCAATCAGAACAACCTAGCTCAGGTCTAGTAGCTGGCATTTGCCCTCCAGCATCCCAAACAGGCACAGTATTTTTGAAATAAAATTATCCATCAATGGAAGTCTCAAGAAATCAAAGGTATTCATGAAATCAGTCATTAACCATTCTAAAGGTTTACTGGTTGCTCTACCTTTGGTCCCTCTGTATCTGACTTTTGGCTATATTATTTTTAAAACTTAAAGCTGTTAATTCCAAAATGGTCTCAATGGGGCCCAGAGTTGGTTCACTGAAAAGATCTTATCATTACATGCATATCAAAATAAAAAAATGCTATTCCAGTCCTACATCATTACAGTGAAAGAAAACTCGCTATGCTTTCAAATATTTCCTCGGGGCATTTCTAAAAAAATGTCTTCTCTCCTCCTAAACCTGAGTTTTTAAAATAAGAAAAATGGTATAGTAAAACATATTCACTGTAAATGAAATAGCACAGGCTAAAAATAACACTACAGTTTCTTATAAAAATAGTGAAATTTTATTCATAAGCAAGGTTCAAATCTTCATAGGTGACTGAATATATGAATTATTTCCTTACAAAAGCATTCTTCTGTCCTGTGATAAAATAAAACAATATTTTATCTATAAACAACTAAAGAGTTACATAGTAGGGTTTTTTTTTTTCCCTTTATCTAATAATAAAATTATATCCAGTATTCTTTAAACAGCATTCAGAATTCAAATGATATTAAATTTCAGCTTGATCCATGTAAGAGCACAACAAGAACTACTCGGGCAACATCTGAGCGTAACCCACTGTACTATACTAGTCACAGCATGAGGAAATTATACACTGTATTTGTTCCCTATCATTTGCCTCTCTTGTTGAGACTATCAGCATCTTACAGAGATGGTCATGCTTTATAATGTGTTGCACAAATCTCTAAAATGAGCACAACTCAAATAACGTTTTCTCTATTATGCAGGAGTGCATATGTACATGAATTATAATGTCAGATACTTCCAAGGACTATAAGCACAGCACAGCAAACAATCTAGATCCTATTAAATATTTTACAAACTGCAAATACCTGGATTATACAGGAAACATATAAAAATAGAAATATTTATTACCATATTACACTGGAATGTAAAATAATATTACAAACATCACAGATTAAAAACAAGTGCTCATATAGGATAAAACTTCAGTATTTCTTTTTTTTCTAAAGTAAGGTGCATATGTAAATTAACAGGAAAATTTACTTTTTGTTCTAATCACACAAGGTACACAAAGCCAAACAGAATTCAGTTACCAAAACCATAACATGTTGCTCATTCTTATGTACTGGCCTTTTAATATTTAAAAGTAATTTTTTTTTCTTTCTAAGACTTAAAATGCAAAATAAAACAACTATGTAAGAGAAGAGTAAACATCTGGTTGCCAGCATCATCATCTTGAACATAAATTTATTTTGTTCAGTTTTATTACCTAGCATTCCACATACACAAATGAAAGGTTTTTGGTTTTCTTTTCCAAAGACAACAAAGTGCAAGAACAAAACTCGGGTTTTGAGGCAGGATGCTGCCTCTACGTTGAGATGCCCTCCCTGTCTGCGTCCAGAAATCTCTCTCGCAAGTAACTATCAGCTCCCTAAATGGCACGAGAAGTAGAAGAGATGCCATCAAGCAGCACATTGACCTGAGAGGAGACAGATATCAAATCTTTCTGCTCTGTTCTGATGCAAAAAGATACGTCAGAGCTGATGGTGAAACATGAAGAGGAGGGATGCAATATCAACCGCACTACTTGATTACATAGAAAATCAAGTTCCAGGCGCACCTACTTTCTTCCTCCCTCGCTTACACTTTCTCTTTCTACCTTCAAGAGCTATTTCTATCTCAGTTTACCTTCACTGTTTTCCCATGTAACTTCTGCCAACCTCTTTCCCACACACAGAAAACTAGATACTGGCATGGTGGTTTCAGCAAAAAGTAAAAACCACCACACCTACCCACAGACGCTTCCTTTTTCTTTGCAATGGATATGCGTTTTTTAAACACTAAAAAAAAAAATTTAAAGCTTCAATACTTGTTAATTGTATTTCTATAGCATTTGATAAGTTTCTTGACATCAGCTCTAGATTCTAATATGCTTATAGGACAATATTCTTTAAGATATCAGCTCTAGATTCTAATATGCTTATAGGATAATATTCTTTAAGATATCAGCTCTAGATTCTAATATGCTTATAGGATAATATTCTTTAAGATATCAAACACAACCTTTTTTTACCCCTTTCTGCTACCAGAGGTAATAATTACAAATGCACAAGCAGTTAAAGTAGTAAAATCTTCCATTTTCTTCTTCACTTTTGCCACTGTATTTCTCCATAGCAGGATAAACACTAACCTAGGAGTCAAGGGGCTCAGATTTTTGCCAAGTTGCAGAATACGAGGTAGGTTAGGAACCAAAAGAAAACCCTAAAAAAAAGGAAACCAAAATTTGGTGCCCTTGCTTCTGGGAACTGAAACTGAACTTGCTGTTTTAATATAACCTACGAATTTCATTTCACATGTGCTTTGCTTTTAACGGTTCATTAGAGAGTCTTTTAAAGAACCTTCCATTCACTACAAGTATAAATAAGTCTTCCTATGAAACATGTAAAAATTCTGTTGAAAATCGAAAAGAGCTCTTTCCCCACAGGTAAATACTGAAGAGGAAGTATATCAAAATATATCATTAGCAGTGCATCAAAACAGTAAAACGATATGGAAGACTGTCCTGATAATAGAAGCATCTACCCATTAGACATGTCATACAATAACAAAGGCTTCTTAGAAGATCCAATTTCAAAGGTTTGCCTGTTTTAAGGAAACATTTTTACAAGGGGGTGATCAACTTACCCGTATTTTCACAGGAGGATTAAAATAGTAGCATGGAGAAAGAAAAGACTGCTGCAGCTCTTTTATTGTTTACTTTTAGCTTCTATTTCTAATTTATTTAAGTTCCTGTAATGATGTTTCCAGGCTCATCAAAAGGCATAAATGTCCAAGCCACTAAATGCCTACATGAAGCATCATGGCACATTACGTGTAAGCGCACACGCACATAGTTGGCACAGGCTAAGGTACGATGGCTACTCATGGTGCAGAGACCTACATTTGTAAGAACCTCAAAATCTTGGGCAGCTACAGAAATAGATAAAGCACTTTCTTTCCTACATTTCTTGGGGTTTTAAATGCCTGCGAAAGGTATTGGGCCAGGCACAGCACAGGCTTGCTTCAAAAACCCCGATGCAGAGCTCTCCAGGTGGCCAGACCACCAGGAGAGTAGACTGCGGAGACAGAAAGCTGCTGCAATCTCCCATCCTCCACAGCCTTGCAAAGCTGTCCTGGCCAGAAAGGAAGTGTAACCAGGGCGGCTGGGAGTGCACTGAGCTAGAATAAATAGTTTCCCTTACTGGGGCTTCTATTGAGTTCATACCATAACAAAGCTGCCCCAACTCATGTGGAATTTACCACCTTGAATAAATTTGACAAATCTAGCCTAGGAAAAGTATAAAAGCAGTGAGGTAGACTGGTGGGAAATATGCTTTTTTTTCTCTTCTAGAAATCCCTAACAATTTTCCTTTTCTGTTTCTATGTGAAAGATTTGCAGCAGCACAAATGGGACCTCCAGGCTTGATGTTTTTTTATGCATCTGAAGATCTCACATAGGGCAAGCAGATACTTATTCTGTCCTCAGCACAGAGGTATTTATTTGCTTCTGCAACTGGAGTGGGACTGTGGGTCACGGGGGTCCACGTGCCTGCAGTGCCAGCAATGGGAGAGACCTGAGTGGGTGCACATTGTGTATGTGGGAGCGTAGCCGGTGAGTAGGATAAAAGGCTTGGGATCCACGTATCAAAGTGGCCATAAATCTGGGCTAGATACTGGAGAGACCAGAGGGTCTGTGAGTTGGCTCCTGGAGGAACCAGGAGATCCACATCAGCTGCTGGGGAGACCGTGGGGCCTGGGGCTTGTTCCAGAGACACATTTGCTTGTGAGTCTCTGCATGTGAGGACTGAGGCTCTCCAGCATTGAAGGACTGAGCTTGAGGCTACTGGATTCAGCAATTCCTAACTTAGGACATGTGTTGAAGTGTTAGACTCAGACTAGGTGTGTCTATGAAGGCGAATATTTGCACATGGAGAAAAACACACAATAATATACTGAGGAGACGCAAAAGAAATCAAAGGAGCTTGGAAGGTGCTCAGCTAACACATAATGGGAACCTAGAGACTAGACTTAATTGACACGTAGACAACTACTTGCTGACATCTGAACCCCGGTGTCTGTATCAGCAAGCGGATTCCCACCCTGCATTTTCATCCGACCAACCAAGCAGAATACGATCAAGATATAATTGCTCACCACATACAGAACCAGCTAATTCACTGTTACAAATCTTAAACCAGGCAAGGATCCCATAAAATCACAGAGGACAAATCAACTACTAGATATATTTGGACTGGATAATATCTGGGCTCACATCTCCTCAGTATTGTAAGAATACACAGTAAATTTCTCTTCTGACAGCTGTTTGGCCAGAACGCATTTGGATTATGCAGCATATTAATTCTCAGAGATGTTTCCTATAAGCAAGTGTCCTCCTAAATATATGAATTATTTGAGACCTGACAGCCAGGTGGTGACAAAATCAGTTTTACAGTACTGAGCACGAACATCCAGAAAACTTCCAGCAATTCAAATATCAGAAGGCCAAGGACTGCAAATCACTGAAAATCAGTAACAACAAACTTTGGAAAATCAGTAATACAATACATTAAAGTAATTCACCTTGGTGCCGTAAGAGGCTGACTCTGAAGACAAAGATAAAAACACTGAGATCTGGTCCCTTAGATGACAGAAAATTGACGTCCCAGAGAAAATACAAGAAGGATAGTAACATTTTCAAAGTCTAAAAAGCTAAAGCTAGCTCTTCTCTCTCCACTTTGTTTGCCACGGCTGTTGCTGAACAAATTAGGCAGAAGTAGAGTCTGAAAGGAAAGAGATGACTGGTGCCAAACCAGAAAATTGATTAGACATGCACAGGAGGACACATTGTATGGAGAGTGGAAGAGGAAAGAAAGAATAAAATCCAGGAGGAAGAAATTGCCCAAAGTAAAAGGATGACACCAATAGAGGAAAGAGGTATAAACAACGAGGTCTCAAAAGTATTTCTCTTTTATGTTAATATACATTATATCACAGAGAGATGATGTGGCAGATTGGTGCTCTGTAGACATCATTCCTTCCTAACACTGTCAGTGCAAAGGGACATAGAGCAAAGGGACATGAATTTAAAAATTAAGTAATCTTGTTTGCTTATTGCCTTAGCTTAATGAAAAATGGAACAATTTAAAGCACTGAGTTATGTTAACTAACCAGCATGTTCTACCAGCACTACCTGAAAAAAGCACTGGAGTTTATATTGCTATCTCTATGGTTATCTGCCCATTAGGTAACTTCCATCAAAGCCCATTTAAAAAGAAAAGGTAATCTTAATTCCAATCAGAGTTCATAGTTAATATATTTATCTGCTTGGATTAACGAAACCAAGTTTTTATGAAACAGGTTTCATATGTCACACTGAACATAGTTCTTTACCAGGATTTAGTGCAAATATGAGAGATAAGAAGTCAAACTGCAAGTTGTAGCTGTGTTAGCTTTTTCTTTAAAGTTTAGAAAAAACATGTTTAAGTTACAATAAAAACAAGCATTCAAAACCTACAGCAATTTTAATACAGAAATTACAAAAATTAGGGTTATTTTCCTAATTTTTTCTGCCAAGACCTTCAGTGGCTAAACTTGGAAGAAAATACTAGCATTTTGCAAGAAGCAATTCTTGGAGATTCCGACTGGCTTGTGCTGTTTGGTACATCAGTAATCACCCAACAGTGGTTTTAAAAAGCTTGTGTGGCAGCTTCTAAAAAATCTACCTGCATTTTACACCATCATGGCTCCAGGGCTCCTTAACTCCAATTGCTGTGCATAGGTTACACCGAGCAGATCACCCACTCTGGGCAAGACCAAGGCAAACTGCACTGCATGTACCGAGCCGTGTTTGGGAGAATTTGACCAAGCAGTCATTTGGTCTATCAGGAGAAAGGGATCAAACTGGACAGTTCATTTCTCCATGACTCTTGACTTGTTGGGAGCGTTTATCACCATCCTAACTGAATCTGTGCTTGGCACTGAGGGAAATTGTCCTAAATGTGAAGAGGAAACCAGAAATGCTGATTTAAGCAATATCACAGACTTCAGTTTGTGCAGTCCATATGCTCTATAATCAAGCAAGGTCTACACCAACATTGGCAATTACAGCTTCTCCCTAATACAGGGGTGGTGTAAACTTACAAAGAGGTTGCGCTAAGCCCATTACAGAAAAGTACTAACAAATTTAAGTGCCAAAATTACATAAAGACAAGTTGTACAGACTTTTTTACATCCTCACAGAAAGAACAGCTGAAAAAGTATACTCTGGATATTTTGAGAGTCCAGTTTACTCCAGGATAGCACTCTTCCTAGTGCTAACTTAAGAGCTGCAAGGACAAATAATGAGGTCCCCTATTCTCAGCTGCACTGAGCTACTCCGTGTAACTCTGTTCATTTTAGGATGCAACCATGCTATCGTAAAACCCAAGAAGAGATAAGTAGAAAAGCCTCATTCTGTAACAGGAAGACCCAAGAGTCAACTATGAACTATGCCTTTTAAAATGAACCTATCTAATCTGTACGGTTAGTCTTATGTCCACAATTAATGGAGAATGCAACAGGACCCACAACTCCCAATTTCAAGCAGTCCTCTCCAGAGGACACTGGAAACCATAAGGTATATGTTTATCTACATACATTATATGTAAACTGTAGGATCCGGGAGCACTCCCCTGTGCCCACAGCTGGGTACTTCCTCCTGCCTGTGACAAACTGCATGGATTTGTTCTATCAACTGCTGCAGAGTTTTACATTATTAAGCTCCCTAAGATACGTCTCAGAACAATACATAGAAAAGCCTAAATTTCCTATAGTTAATCGAGATGTGGATGCACACAGAAGTGCCTATATTTCAGGCACTAAATTCAGTGCCTTAATTCCAGTCAAAATCCTGCATTTTAACACCTTTGCCACTGACTGAAAATGGTCCCAACTGCTAACCCTGCACGTATTTAAATAAGCATCACTGACACACGACTAGAACTTGCTCGTACATATACAGCTGCACAGACTAGGTAATTTGTATATCTAAGTAGACATATAGGTAGGCATACAGATAACTGGCTATATCGTATTCAGCTAACTGGATAACAGTCATTATGTTATTTTGCATATGAAGTTGAGTTAATTGGTATTGACTTCAAAGTCTCTTTCAGCCTTGCTTCCTCTACCAGCTCTTTTCTGTCCGTCTGCCCCATCCCGTCCCATTGCTCCCGGCCTGTATCTCTATAACGCTTGAAAGTGCTATTGATACCTTCTCTAACTCCTGAAGGGAGACCATGCATTTTTCTTTCTTAGACTTATACTTTGCTAGACAATCAGTCACATTTTCTTGTCTAATAACTAAGGAATGTATCTCATTACCCTGACGATGCAAACAACAGTAAGTCCCTGCTCTCCTATGAAGCCAAGAGAAGCTATAGGAAGTTACTAAAATTAATTACCATCTACTTATTCAGCAAGTAGAGACATCCTATTCACTTGTTTAAATACTATAATATTAACTCTCAGAATTTGATTACTAAATTATTGAATCTTTACTAAAAGGAAATCAGCTTTAGGAAAATACTTTTTCCAAAATGTGTACAGCAGTGAGAATGGCAAGCGCAGGAAGAAACGGAAACGTCAGCTACAAAATGGAATTTTTTCAGTATAAAATCAAGCTGTGATGATGTCTGTAGATATTGGAAAAGCATAAACAACAAGAAGAGAAACATTACATAATACCATTTAATTATTCAAAAGTACATAGTGACAAGTAAAGGGATAAAATCTACAAAAGGAACATTTCGAGCACATTGGAAGGAAAACATCTGAAAAAAAGAGCTAAAACCCTCTGTAACCATCTCAGAAGGAACAGAAGTTTCACTGCTGGAAACACTGAAAACTAAGCTTAACCAAGAACTGGGGGGTCTTGTGATGTTAAACAAGGACACAAATCTTGATCATGTGACTTAAAATACTTAAAAACGAGATACGATCACATTCTAAAATGCTATGTCACCTGCAACTGACAGTTAATTGTTGAAACTCTGTATTTGGAGTCTGAAATAAGCCTCACTGATGCTTATAATTATTAAAATTCCAAAACCAGGAAGAGACTTCATAATTAACAATTATTTTGACCTTATTGAAAACATATTAATGCTGACTTAATGGTCTTCACTACAGATACTTCTCCATTACTATAGTGGAAAGCAACATCCAAAGGCATCAGTCAAGTTCATGGCTCCACTGCGGTAAGATCTAAACAAGGCAAGACCTTTGTAAGAGCAAATCTGTTTACCTGAAAATGGAAGTAGCTTGTTTACACCATTGAGTTTTTAAATGGTAAGGTCTGCCAGACAGCAAGACTAACAATGTCTAACATCTTGCCAAATGGAAAAGTCCAATTCTTCTCACATAAAGACAAACCCTGTCCTCAGTGACGCCACCATAAATCAAGAATAACACAAAACCCTCAGGGAATGAATTTCAGAGATGCTAAAGTCTCCCAGCTCCTTGGGAGGTCACTCTGCCTTGACTCACTAAAGTGTTTTGTTTAAGCATGAACCTTCTGCATCTTGCTCTTAGGCTGATCTTGAGTGTTTTAGTAACTTGTGGAAACCAAAAAATATCCTAAATTTTCCCTTTAGAAAGCACAACTTTTGTTAATGTTTCTTTAAATACACTATAATATATGCAGTAAGAAATCTGTGTCCAATTTTTGCCTTAATAAATTCATATTCATACCTGGAAAATTACTGTCTTTCAGGACAGAAGGGGAAAAAAAGAAGATACCACTATACCACTACTACTCCACGAATCACAGAACAGGTGAGGCTGGAAGAGACCTGTGGAGATACCCAGTCCAATTCCCCTGCTCAAATAAGTTTCCTCAGGGCTGTGTCCACTTGGGTTTTGAGTATCTCCAAGGATGGACACTCCCACAACCTCTCTGCACAGCCTGTTCCCACACATTTGACCACCCTCACAGTAAAAAAGTTTTTTCCTTATGCTTAAGTGGAATTTCCTGTATTTCAGTCTGTGCTCACTGCCTCTTGTCCTGCAACTGGCCACCACTGAAAAAAGCCTGGCTCGGTCTTCTTTACTCCCTCCCATCAGGTATTTAGACATTGATAAGATCTCCCTGAGCCTTTTCTTCTCCAGGCTGAACTGTCCCAGTTCTTGCAAGCCTCTCCTTGTATGAGAGATGCTCCAGTCCCTTAATCATCTTAGTGGCCCTTCACTGGCTTGCTCCAGTATGGCCATGTCTCTCTGGTACTGGGGAGTCCAGCAGTGGACCCAGCAATCCAGATGGGTCTCGCCAGTGCTGAGCAGAGGGGAAGGATCACCTCCCTCACCTGCTGGCAACGCCCTGGCTAATGCAGCCCAGGATGCTACCACAAGAACACATTGCTGGCACATGTCCAGCTCAGGGTCCACCAGGATCTCCTACGCCCTTCTCTGCAAACCTACTTCCCCACTTCCCAGATGGTCAGCCTCCAGCCTGTTCTGGGGTTATTCCGCCCCAGGGGCACGATGTGGGATTTCCCTTTGTGGAACTTCATGAGGTTCCCATTGGCCCATTTTTCCAGCCTGTTGAGGTCCCTCTGAATGGCAGCACACCCTTCTGGTGTATCAGTCACTCCTTCCAGTTTTGTACCATCAACAAACTTGCTGTGGGTGCACTGTGTTCCATCACCCAGGTCACTAATGAAGACATTATACAGTACTGACCCCAGGATCAACCACTGGGGTACAGCACCAGTAACTGGCCACCAGATGGACTGCATGCTGCTGATATCAACCCTTTGAATCCAGCCCTTCAGCCAGTTTTCAGTCTGTCTCACTGTCCATCCATTTATCTACTTCATTGGCTTATATACGAGGATGTCACAGGAGACAAGTGTCAAAAGCCTTGCTGAAGTCAAGGTACACAGCATTCACTGCTCTTCACCGCACCAGTTATTTCATCACAGAAGGTTATCAGGCTGGTCACGTATGATTTCCCCTTTGTAAATCCATGCTGACAACTCCAGATCACCTTCTTAGCCTTAACAGGCTCAGAAACGGTTTCTAGATGACCTGCCCAGGGATCAAGGGGAGGATGTCTGTCATTCCCCGGATCCTCTTTCTTGTCCTTCTTGGAGACAGAAATGGCATTTGCTTTCTTCCACTCCTCAGGAAGGAAATTCCCCCAGTTGCCATGACTTCTCTTCATGAGCAATATCATACATAAAATCAAAGCGGAATACTGTATATTATGCTATTGGAAGAATAAATATGTAAATTAAAGTCTGATTTCAAGCAGAAAGTGTTGTAAGATTATCCGTACTTAAACTTTTATGACTACAGTTCAGACATGAAACATGAATTCATGTATATAAATATACAACTTAGAAAATACATTTGAGTAAACTGTTTTTAAAATATTTTTCCTCCCCCATGGTCTATTACTTTATGAACTGTCAATATGCAAAATGTGGTCAATTTTGATGCAAGATGCTACACAGGTCTACTGCCAACAAACTATTTATAGGTACATATCTTTCAGGGTCAATATGTCTAAATTCCATCAAAATCTAATTTTCTAAGTTTTGCTAAAAGCTCTGCAGAATAATCTTTTTACATATGGTTTCACTGAACTAACTTGGTTACTCTTTGTAAACTGTTGTAAGTACAACAGCCATTGGCTGAGAATGAGTGTAATTTTGTAAAATAAGTAAATGCTAGAATATGGGCAGCTATGTTATATATGTGCTTTTAGAAGTCCCCCTGAAAAAAAGAGAGACTTCACCCTGGTTTGTTTGGGGTTCTTTTTTTCTCTTATACTATTGTAAACACTTTCTAACTGCTGAAAATCAGCAGATTTATCCCAACACAAAGCTGTGGCAAGAACCCTTTTCAGTACCATTGTATACTAATCAGAATACACCAAACTCTAACACTTAAGTGTCTTAAACATAAATTAATTTTACAAATCCTTGTGACTGGCAGAGGAAAAAGTTATAATTTATTCCAGTTGTGAAACATAATATGTTCCATTCGCTCATTCACAAAGGGTTTCAGTTTTTCAGGAAATAAATGAGACAACTGTCTTTCTAGACTATGCAGACTGGACTATGATCAGTCATTTCTGCTCTAGGAAAAAGTTCATCTCAACAACATACCCAAACACAAATGGAATTTAACAAAGGCAAGAGAGATGAATTTTCAGTCTGCTCTCATGAGGACAGGGCGAAAAAGTGATGAGGAGAGCAGGAAGTCAAAACATCATTGCACTGCATATATACATCGTAAGTGTTAACCAAGTGTGGAAATCCCTAGCTATTTTAAATCTAGATTAAAACCACAAGACAATTTAAACTAATCCACAAGATACAAAATATAAATGAGGATGAATGCTTTATGCTAATTTTTAGAGAAATAATATTATTCTTTTTATATTCTCCAAAATGTCAAGGCCATTTTTCATTGTTGTAAAAATGCGTATCACAACTTTATGAACGAGATCTTTGGGTGTTAAATGATGATAATTACATCCAATTCTCAAATAACACGCTTCCTTATCAGATGTCAACACATTTTACAGCACCAGTTTTTCTACTTTACTACCCTTCTTGAAGTCAGTGCCTGCAGCAGGGAAGCAACTTGTCCACAATTGATCTGCGTCAGAAAAAGTAAGAGTTGCCCCTCTACGTCTCCCATTGCCAGGTGGTAACAAGTGCTCTCCTGACAAATCAGGCTTTTCAAATTAGATTTATTTTAATAGTAAATTAGCGAACTAGATTTAATTTTAATAGTAAAACAAAACGATATGAAAAGTCCACCCATGCCTGTATAGAGCCTGTATTCTCATTATTCATCTTTGCAGTACTTGTGTCAGGTAGATGTTGCAGTGCTCACTGTAATAATAGGGAGAAATATGAAGAGCTGTCAAAAAACATGACCTATCTCAAAACTATGGAAATATCTGAGACCAAAAGAGCATTACGAATATAAGCATTTCTCACGAACGCTGTAAAACCTAACTAGGAAACTAATATTTGCAGTACTTCTAGATTTATTTTTTTTTTTAGCTATGACATATATTAACAAAACTGCTGTAAAATACTTAATTTGACTTTGGGATCACCAGCGGTCCACAGATCATAGCTTGGAAAGCTGTGCTTTAAATTAGAGTCAACAACTTAGGGGCATGGCAGTTCATGCCTTCTACAACCGCTGAAGCACCACAACCTCCCAATTACCGAACCCACTCCGAACTGTTACAGTAGTTACTCCGTGTCATCACTGAACCCGTGAGTGGAAAAGAGAAATAGAAAATATTTCTCCACAAGGCACAGATGAAATACATCCACCAAGAAAAAAAGATGCAAAACCATTAAAATATAGAATAATTCTTTTGAATAGTTGGTTTTAATTTAGGCTTAATTTCAGAGGGCACTGAACACACCAATACTCTCATTTTTTCTGAAAGTAAAATTCTGCCATAAGATACACCAATTTCACTGAAAAAGACAAAGCTTTAAAAATGTATTTTATTGCAGAAATCAAACTATGCAACCTTCTCCCTAGAGTAAGAAACTGGAAGTTCTGTGATAAAATCTTTTCTGGAAAGCCAGTGCAATTTCATATCAATGGCGCGCTCTTTTTCCTGCTTTCAAATGGATTACTTAAATGTTTTAAAATGTTATAACCCACAATAATCTGTTCCAGGCACCAACGAAAAGGAAGAAAAAAATTACAGAAGTCAAGATGTCGCCTGGAAGCACTTTATGGCAAACATTATAAAGATAACACAGAGCAGAGAAGCTCTGGTTCAATCCATTATAAATACCGCATTCTTCTTAAAATCACAAAAATGTATTTATAGTAAAGAACTCTTACAGGCTTTTTCCTCAGAAGACTTCATTTAAGTACGATTTGGCAGAATTTTTGGAACAAGAAAAGAAGAGTTTTATAAAATATTGATGTTTTACAGTCACCCTAGTCTTGATCTACTTGCTACAAAAACAAAAGCAAGGAAGATGACCACATCCGTGTCTACTAATTATACTTTAGTTTTTCATTTTGTCCAAAATGTGCTCTCTAGCAGTTATACTGAGCACAGACACTAAATTGCCACTTAGACAATTAATGCCTCATTAAAAACACAAGTTATTTTTCTCATTTTATTACTGACACAATATAGTGTTTAATGAAATATATGAGATTTAAAAAAAAAAAAAAAATCCAAAACCCAAAGGGTGGAAATACTGGCAAAAGATACTCCTGTATAACACAATCTATAGATCAAACCTCTCTTTTCCCATATGTCCCAATGACAGTACAGATAATTGCCCTCTCTTCTTTTACCCCAGGTCTCTCCCAAGACTTAGGGACGGGGGCATACACAGAAGCAATAGGCTACACTGACCCCCTTGGGCACTAAAATTATTAAATAATCACTCTGAGTGCAGAGATAATCTAAAGGAAATAAGAAACAGCTTTCTTAGATTTCTCAAAATAAGTTGTTTTCTTTTTCTTCAATGAAAAGTGGCTCAGTGGAAAGTAGGAAACAGAAGATGTGAATATCTGGACTTTAGAAAGATTTTCTCATAAGCAAATTAGGGTTGAAGCATGAGCGCTTAAAAACGTTGACTCAAAAATTTAATTTTCAAAAACATGAAAAAATATTTAGTTTACAAAGGAAAGAAACAAAATTACAAGTACCAAATATGCACTGTCTGTTTAATAATAAGACCACTAAAAAGAAGGATCCGAAGTTAGAGCGCAGCACATACAAGCAATGAGCCAAGAATAAAAGACAAAAAGAATAAAAGACAAAAAAGGGGGACAAGTGCCACTCTCGTAGGGCTCAAGAGAACACCACATGAAAGAAATGCATAGTTAATTATTTCACTTTATTGATGGTAGTTCAAAAGGGGTCAATGTAAAGGACAACTTGGCATCCATTCAAATTTGCCCTTTTTTTTAAAAAAAAAAAATAAATTGTATTTTCTGATCTTTCTCAACAAAAAAAACAGACAGACATGAGCTGTGCTCATTGAGGGGAAATGTGCATGACTTGCTATTTTTTGACAAGCATTTAGACTTGAATAATTGACAATTTGGAGAGAATTTACCATAAATTATAGTTGGATTGAATTAATATCTTAATATGAAATTATAATTTCAATTCACAAATTTCAGGCTGCTTAAGTAGGGGCAAAACCAGTAATCAAATATAAGCATTTAAAGAGAAATTTTTATTTATTTTTTTTTTTATACACAATCCACCCAGCGTTATGCCCCGTACATGAGTTAACAGAGAAAATCATTACCATGGACACTGTACTTTGCTTTCTTATCTGTATCTGCAGAACATAATGTGAAATGATACCAGGTAAAATCTTAATTCCCTTATTTATCAAAACAGATAAGCTAGACAAAATAAAAAAGCACTCCAGAGAGTCCAAAAGTCATTCTAATGAACAATTCCAATTACTTATAGCACACTTCCATAATTGTGGAAGAAAAAAATCTTGAAGAAATTAAGTACACGTGCAGCATCCTAACCAATACCGACAGATGCTCAGTGGCAAGCAGTTTTTAAAAAGAACCAAACTTCCAAAATAAGAACTAATCTCTATAGACAGAAGTCAGGAATTGCCATGCTTGAGGGAACAGTATTCAGCATCCCATCTTTCCCTTTCTCTTCCTCCTTAGGAGCCAAGGAAGGAATGGTTGGAGTCAGGGAAAGACCAAATTCTCCAAGAAAAGCTGCGGTTTCACTGAATCACACACTACA